CACGCTTTTACAGCTGTGGATATTGCGTGTGCATACCCTTTTAGAAACAAATGAGCGTTGTGTAAAAATGCCAGGCCAGCATTTTGAACAAGACGAAAAGAGCACATACAGAGTGGGAGCATGAGTCTTAATGGAACGCTGTAGCAGCTAAACTGTGAGCTGTGCTAGAAAAAAACATATCTGGTAAAGCACTTGAGCTGAATGAAGTCCATGAGGATGTGCAAGTATCAGTATCAAAAAAGTATCAAATATTTCATATGAGGACTGAGCTCCAAAGGAGAATATAATACCTCATTAAATCAACTTGTTGATGGGTATCAACAAGCCTACATTCAGTTTTGAAAGAAAAAAAAAAAAGCTGTGAACTTTAAATTAGTTACAGATAGGGAACAACCTTCTTGGACTTTGGCTTAGTTATGCTTTCCAGCTAGACAAGGATACTTAGAGGCAAAGAAAATGTTAGCACCTGTGGGACATCACAAGCGAGAATGAGAGAAAAACACAATGCAATTATCACCTGTGGTCAGTGAGGTGTAACAAGAGCTGGACTGCACCAAATATTGTAATGAGCAATTATCTCTGGTCTTCCATGGTTCTCCAAACTAATTCAGCTGTATTTTTTGTCAGAGCAAATAAATGCTAGTGGGTTGCATAAATTTTTTATAGGGCATATTTTAAAGCATAAATGAAATAGTACTGTGTGCTAATTTGACCCATTTGTGAAGATTATTAAAATATGGCAGAGTAAAAACCCTGAAATTCACAAGAGTCCATTCATTTCAAAGGCTGGGGAGGATACTTTTTAATTTCATACTCACAACTTTGTGATGGAACACTTCAGGAAAAAATGGCTCCAGGATACAATGCTTTGTAACACTGACAAAACTGCTGCTTTCTAAAATAATTCGTTGGGTAAAGCTTGTGCTGTAAAGGAGTGACAGAAAGGAATGCCCATCAGAGATATACGATTTCCATAATAATAATCAAATTGGCTGACAATAGAATAAATAATGTTGGTCTGAATGGTGGGTGGTTGCAGACCAGTCTGGTTTTATATATGAACTGCTGATGGATGAGAGGAGAGGGAGCATGCAGCCTCGAGGTATCTCACATGTGCATCAGACCCCTAAGGTCTTGCAAGTCAACTGTGACGACACAGTCATAAGCGAAATGGGAATTAGAAGGAAACTCTTTAAACCCTCTATTAAACCCATGACAGAGGTAAAAGTGCTTAGACAAAGACAAAAAAATTATGATTCCTTGGGAGGCTGCTGTTGCTAATGATGTTTTGAACAACACAGCTCTGTGTTGGAAATGGTGGGAGCTGATATCAATTCTCTGTAACAAAACATCAGTAAAACTGAAAGTTAAATTCACTAATTTCTAACCTGTCTCTCCTTAACATGCAGTCTGGAGACACAATCAGCCACACATCAGAATATCATCTTCCACAAAAATCAGAATGGTGATTTGAAAAGAACATAAGGAAGGTAAGATGGAACAAAACATATGATATGCTGGTGTATGCCTTGTATAAAATGACTTGAAGAGGGTATTTCCTGAAACCATGCTTGCAGTGAATGTCAAAGGAAAACAACCAAAGCAAAGATAAATACACAGTTTATGGACAGGATATTGCTGCAGCTTCACATAGTCAATCTATGTTATAGTCTCTTAAAGAGGCTACAAGAAGACTGTAAAATTTGATGACCTTGAGTAGGGAGTGGCAGAAAAGCAGAGATTTTTCTGATACAAAGCCACTTCGAGCCTTAATTAGTGGTAATTAGTGGTAAAAGGGCAACTCCTTTTATTGCTTATTACATAGGTAATTGTTGTGCATAAATAATAATAATAAAATTATTATTTCTCCTCAGTGTTCCATCTTTTGTTTAAATCACAATTCTGCTTTTCAGAGTGTGACAATATTTTGAACTTGTGGGTCAAGTTTAGGAAAACATATATTTAATAACTGTGGTGGTAGGAGTCTATCATGTTGTTTTGATTAACTGGATAAAGAGTGTAGAATTTCAATTTAGTAGTGAGTTTGCTTTCCTGTTTTATTATGTAAATAGAAGTTGACTTTCTTTATTCTGTGAAAAAATATGTTTTTTTATGTATATAAATTGGACTGAATGCTATTCTTGGCTACAACTAAAAAGGAATACATTTTTACTTCACATGTTTGAGGCAGGTGGACCAATTTCCCCTGATGGGCCTGTCATAGTAGGACAAATCTAAATTTCAGACCTGCTGGGTTTTTTTGCCAGCTAAAAATCCCCAGGACTAAGACAAACATTCAATTTTTAAAGTAGTTTTTATTTCAGTGCAGGCAACTCCACACAAAGCATGGGGCTCCACTACTTTACAACACTTCAGTGAAATTTTAATAGGGAAATTAAAATAACTAAAAACAGCCATAAAAAATATTATTCTAACTTTAATGCTAAAGACAACTACAGAACAAAGTAAACAAACTAACCATGTAAGGCATACCTATACTTGAAATGCTGCTCTAGTCATCTAAACAGAGATAAGGATTGTTTGTTTTTTAAGGTGGTTTTCTTTTTCTTTTTAAACTGATTTTTGAATAGCATAGAAACTTCTCAGCTAAGTAATATTAGAAAATAAGTATCAGCAGATAATGTGATCTAGCAGGTGGAACTCTTGGCTGAAAAACTGAACATTCAGGATCAGCTCTCAATAGCCCCTCCTGGTCTGCTGTGATTTCAGCAGATCATCTGCATGATGCTGTTTAGGCAGCATCTCATTTGGAGGGGCCACACTCATTTTCAGACTACTTTCAGAAACTACACTTACCCATGAGCCTTCATGTCAAGCCCCTTCTCCCTGCCCCTGTCTTTACATAATTGTGTTTTCTTACCATCCTTATCTACATGAACAATGAGAACTTTATCTTGCCCTTTGATCATGAAATTCTGTGTTTACTCACTTGAGCTCTGTGATTGCTGCCAGATGAGTAACACAGATCCTCAGTCTGGTTTCTGAAGCAGGCTCTGAAGTGGTCAGGTTTTAAAAATCCCAAATGTTTGCAAAATTGAATACTTCCCAATATACAGCTTCATGAACAGGAGTAATTAAAAATGAGATTTGTAAAGTGTCCACCTATTTCCATACTTGACTTCTCCAGGTCAATGCATTGGGTCATACAGAAAAAGCTTGATAGTTACACCACCATTTATCTTCATCTCAGAGATGCAGTTTGGGCTTTACTGTGGGCCCAACAATAATACATTTAATTAATACCCAAGATCATTGCTTCAAATGGAGAGGGAACCTATTTGCCAAAATACAGAAAATAATAGATTGAATTGACTCCCAAAATAGACACTCATGACTAAAATATATATATATACACCTCCCAATCATCTGAGAAAGTCCCATGAAAGCACTCTGAATTGCACTACTGTCAAACCATTGAAACCATGAATTATAGCTAAATTATAAACACAAATATAACTATAAGCCTTTTCTGTTTTCCTTATGAATTTCCTAACATTCTTAACTGAAACAATTCAGTGTTGAGTGCTCTTCTCAGGGTCTTGCTGTTGCCACAGTTCTGTTCATAAGACTGTAGTAGTTTATTGAATGAACACATAAAGCTGAGTCTGTATCTCCTTTACTGAGTATTTCACATGCAGACACAAGTGGGACAGGGTGAGCAACACCAGTCTTCTCAGCTGGTAGACAACCACCACCACAGCCTATTTTGGATCAAGCAGCCCACGTGCTGCTCTGTGCATCCTGCCTCTGAGAGCCTGCTCAGCCCCTTTCCTAAAGCTCACAGAGGTTTCCATGAGGTGCAGGGGACCCAATGACTGGTACAATCATAGAACTATAGAATATGCTGAGTGGGAAGGGACCCATCAGAATCATTGAGTCCCACTCTGGCCCTACACAGGACATCTCAAGAATCCCACCATGTGCCTGAGAGCACTGTCCAAATGCTTCTTGAGCCTCAGGCTTGAGGCTGTGACCACTTCCCTGGGAGGCCTTTTCAAGTACCCAGCCACCCTCTGGGTGAAAAACCTTTTCCTGATACACAATGTAAACCACCTATGACTCAGCTTCATGCTGTTTTCTCAAGTCCTGTCATTGGGTACCACAGAGATCAGTGCCCACACCTCCTCTTCCCCTCATGAACAAGTGGCAGACCACAATGAGATCTCTCCTCAGTCCCCTCCAGGCTGAACAAACCAAGTGACTTCAGCCGCTCCTCATATGGCTTCCCCTCAAAACCCTTCACCACCTTTCTTGCCCTCCTTTGGATGCTCTCTAATAGCTTAATGTCGTTTTTATACTGTGGCACCCAAAACTGTCCCCAGCACTCAAGGTGAGGCCGCCCCAGTGCAGAGCAGAGCAGGACAATCCCCTCCCTTGCTCGGCTGACGATGCTGTGCCTGATACCCCCCAGGACAGGGTTGGCCCTCCTGGTTGCCAGGGCACTCTCACATTCAACTTTCCATGGACCCGGACCCCCAGGTCCTTTGCACAGCGCTGCTGTCCCGTTCCCCAGGTTACACACGGAGCCAGGGCTGTCCCGTCCCAGGTGCAGACTCCCGCACTTGCCCCTGGCGCGGTTGGTGACTGTCCATCGGTAACTTGCCGAGGGTGTCCCTGCGGAGCACAGGGCTCTCTCGGTAGCGGTACCTGCCCCCGTTCTCCGCTCGGGGACGCCCGCAGCGCCCCAGCTGAGCCGCCCTGCCCGGGCACCGGGGCGGCCCCAGCTCCCCACCCGGAGCCGCTGCCGCCGCGGGGAGCTGGGAAGGGGCGGGCCGCGGGCTCTGCCCGCCCCGTCCGGGCGTGTCCCGGCGGGGCTGCCGGGAGGGCGGCTCCGCTCAGCTCGGCTGTCTGTGCCCGCGCCCAGCCTTGTGCGGGGGGAGCGGCTGCTCCGTCTTTGTGGCCGCGGCTGCGGAGGGCGGCGGTGCTGCGGTTCGCGGGGAGCCGAGCCCGGCGCGGCGGCGGCAGCAGCAGCGGCAGCCATGGGGCTGCAGCCCCTGGAGTTCAGCGACTGCTACCTGGACAGCCCCTGGTTCAGGGAGCGGGTGAGAGCCCACGAGGCCGAGCTGGAGAAGACCAATAAGTTTATTAAGGAGTTGCTGAAGGATGGGAAGAACCTGATCGCCGCGACCAAGAGTGAGTGGCGGGGAGCGCGGGGAGCTGCGGGGGCGGCTGCCCGGCGCCGGGAGCTTTGCCTTTTAGCCGGCGGCGCTCGCCTTTGTGGCACAGAGCTTTGCACTGGCGTTCTCCAGCCTCTCCCTTGGGCTCCCCATCAGTCGCTTGGAGATGCAGGTCCTCTCCCGCCCTTCTCCGCGGAGGGGAGTAAGGGATAGAGGCGGTGGCAGCGCCGGGGGACTCCTGTTGCATCTGCCCGGTTCCTGGGCCGGGCCTGGCTTCTGTGTTCGGCGGTGCCGAGCCCGGAGCAGCCCCGGCTGCCGTGTGAAATCCGCCGGGAGCACTCGGTCACTCGGTGCCAGGTGTTGCCGGTGCGCTGCGAGCTGAGCGGCCGCAAATCGCCTGCTGACCATAGCCATGGCGTGCCTGTGCATTGCCGCCTGTGGAGAGGCTGCTGGAAAATACCTCTGTCAAAAGAAGTGTGTTCAGGAATTTTCAGACTTAGTTTTGTGCTGACAGCGCTGGTTACCAGTTCTATGCCTTTGGCCTCTTAAAATGCGGTCGTGTTTTGTTAATTTTGCGTTTAATTGTTGAGTATATACATAGTATATATAAATAGTTAGCTATAATGTGTCTTATGTGGGAATCATGTTTTTTGCCTTGAATAACCATGTTCATGCATGTTCTTAGTATTTTTTGATGTTGTTTTATTGTGCTAATGTTTTTTTTCCATTTTACATAAGACACAGTTGTGTAGTCACCTAATTATTTAGTAGGACAATTTGCTATACCAATTTTTCAAATAAACCACTAATAGTGCTCTGGCACTTTGTTCTCGGAAGTGCACAGCACCTATGGTATGATAAACTTCTGAAGCCAGGAAATCATGCTGTCAGGATGTTTCCATTAAACTGATAGGGTTTTGGCTGGTGGTTTGATCAGTGTAGCTGCCTGGTTATGGTGAAGTTTTTAAAACCAGAATTAACTCATTTCTGTAAATAAAAACCACTGTTTTCTGGTTTTGTCTCTGGTAGAAAATGCCATATCAAATGTCACTTTTCTGTAACTGTTAATCTTTGGCCAGTTAACATTCAGTTACTGCACATTGTGATCTTGGAGGATTATTCAAAATCTGTGACTTAAAGTGTCAGTATAAATCATCTTAACTTGGAGTATAAAGTAAAAAAGTGTCTCCAAAATTGGATAAGAACAGTAGAGAGAAATAATTCAATTTCTCTTCCTTAAGCATCTAGACATTATTTTGGCAACAGCCCCAAGCTCTCAGTTGCTCGTGTACAGTAATGTATACAAAACTTAATTTGAAAGCATTGGGCTGGCTGTGGTGAGGAAAGCCCTAACTCAGATGAGCATCCTGTCCACAGTTGGCTGTCCACGGCACACCAGAATCCTGTGCTGCTAAATTGGCTTTGTGTGCTTGCTCAGGGTGCTTTTCTGTCTGTGGTGGAAGCCAAGTGTGCTGCCCAGAGCCACCTGGCCTGAGAGGGCTCCATTAAATACTTCAGGCTAGCCCATGAGGAATATTTAGAGAGGCTGTCTGAGAATCCTGCCTGTTCAGGTCTAGGCACCGCCTTCCTTTCTGAGATGAGAGTCAGAAGGTTTATTCTTGAGTTTAGTTGCTATACCTTATTCCAACAACCATTTTCAGCATACTTGTTTAAAAAGTACAAACAGGTTAGACCCTTCTTCCCACATTTCAGGTTTCTGCAGCTGTCTCTCCTCTTTAGAGTGCCCTGAGTGACAGGTTTGAAGCTGAATTGCCTTCCGCTGGTGCTGGTGAAGGAGTGCCACTGTTAGACAGACATTTAAAGACAAATTCAAGTAGAGGGAGCACAAGGAGCCCAGTGGTTAGCGTATTGGCCCTCCTTGTGTTTTCAGAAGAAAACCTTATCATCTAAATTCTTTGAGGAAACCAAATGGGATTAGTATTTGTTCCAAAACCCAGCTTCAGAAGTGGTTTAGACACAATGGTCTATTCATTTGTGTCCAAACTGCATTTTCTTCACAAAGAGTTTCGCTGCAATTTTGAGAATGTGATAATAAAGCAGGGTGTAGTGAGTTTAGATGATTGCCTCTTAAACAACAGTTGCTGACAATTTTTAGAAAATTGTTTTAGTCTTTTGAACAAAAAAATACCATCTTGATAATAGCTAAAATATTTCCCTGTTTCTAGAACCAGGTAAAAGATGAGATTTGCACCTGGTGTAATTGATATGTGGGTGTGATAAGCCGCTCTGAGTGGTGTGTAAAGTATAAAACATAGTGCACTATTGTTCTTTAATTTGTGGGACTGCAATAGACACTGTCAGCATTTCCCTCCCTTAGCAATTTCCTTATTTCACTTGTAAAGCTGGCAGCAAACGTTATGGGGATTCTTTAGGTGTGAATAACTGATGCAATTGACTAGATCCCTCTTCCTGCCTGACAGACGGCCTTGTCAGTGGCTTTGATGCTGCCTGCACTGGGTTACATCTTGACAGGTGATAGCAGATACTGCTACCACTCCCTCTAATCCATAGGAGCTATCAGTGTCTTCAGTGTCTTGCAGGGCACAACAGTAACAAGATGTGGATCCTCTCACTGGCTCCTTTCCCTTAGCCTCCTCAGTCGTATGAGATGGTATTTTTACCTGAAACTCAGAAGAATTGATTTTTGTTAGTACAGGACTGTACTACTTAAAAAAGAGAACAAAAAAAAAAAAAAGAATTTGTGTTGTTAAATTGTTGAATTTCCAGAGTCAAGCATACTTCAAGTGTATTTTTACACTTTAAAGTTTCAGTAGTTTCAGTAGTGTGATAGAGAGATAAACAAGAGTGACTCAAAGCTGTCTGTTTCCTGTGTAAGGTTTTGAATCACTAAGTTGTCTAGTTCAAGCTAAATATTGGAAAGATGAGTTAGCAATAGGTGGTTCTTCCTTTTCTTATAACAGTTAAATGCGTTTAAAAGGAGTACAAACCCATTTTTCCTTACTGTGACTAATCAGTAAATACAACTGGTATACACTTGTGCTTTTTAAAATAGAAATTTAATATTTCTTGGGGGATTCCAATTCAGTTAAACAAGTTAGGATCAATAGAGTTTATAAATAACTTCTGGATGGAGGAAGTTGTGCTTCAGTGAAAGTGAATTTAAAGGTGCCTGATAAGAGAATCCTCATTCTGAATCATGAAAAGAATGTAAGAGGTTTAGTTCTGAGCTCCTAAAAAGCTGCAGTGCAATTTGTTGGAAGCTAAAGAATACAGCACTGGATAAATACTGTGTATTTAGTCTGAATTCTTGTCCCTGTGTTGATCCAACTCTAGGTCTCTTCGCATGAGTGTGAGATTCTTGAGGGGCTTTTGAAGATATTTTTTGAAGGTATTTTTTTTTTGTATACCTGCAGCAGGAGTTGTCACTGCTAATGAGATGCCAAGTGGAGTAGGAAGTCAGGATGAGTACAGGTTTTGGCTGTCTCTCAGGGCCCTTGCAAAGGATACTCGTGAGTGCATGCTCACAGCTGTTCCACGTGCCTGAAAGCAGAGCCTCCTCATTCTTGGATTTAGGCTCAAATTGGAGCAGAATTCTGTTTGAGCCAACTGCAGTGACTTTGTGATGGGCTGGTGAAGACAGAAGGTGGATGTACTTGGTGCAGTGGGCATCCTGGCTATCCAGTGCAGCCCAGCATACTCAGTGACTGTTTCTATTGCCATTTTCTTTTTGTGTTTTTCATGGAAGAGTTATTTCTTGCACTCTTCCAGACAGTACACAAAATGGCAACCAAATTTATTTTATGTGTTGAAAGAGTTTGTTGGAATATACAGAGTTACTGATGAGTATTTGTTCTAACAAAGATGACTGAAGAACCTAATCCAGTCCCAAGCCCCAGTTTGGTATCTGAATTGTCCAAACCCTTATGGTTTTTCTTGGCCAGTTCTCTTGGTGTGTGGTGGTGGTTGACCTTCCAGACACTGGTCTAGTTAGATTTTGGCCTGACTTGGTGTATATATTACTATGTAAATATAAAAGCTGTGGTAATCCACATAATAACACCACATAAAAACCTCTCAGACCACTTGAGCTGTGGTGCATTTTTTTCTTAAGCATTAATTATCTATTTTTTAAAGCTTTCCTTAATATAATCTGCAGTTATGAAAGCATGTGTAATGTGTGCCAGCCTTCAAAGTCTTAGGAATTTTTTTTTTTGCAACAAAAATGTTCTACTGGCATTCCAGTACATGTCAAAGAAGTGAGACAAAACCACTACTATATAGGGCTTATCAATAACTGCTAGACAAGAAATGGGCATTCACTAAAGATTTAGGTAGAATCCAAAGGTTGAGTAAAAACTTAATGCCGTTCATACTTAATGGGGAAGGGGGGAATATTGCAAGAGGGTCTTAGTTGAGCTTGTGTGCAAAATTTCCTAAGTCAGCTGAGGTTAGTTAGAGCTCTTTATTTTATTATTTTGCCTTGAATTCAATGAGACCTCTGAATTAATAGATCTTTACGTTTAGCATTTTAGAAAGCTGTTTTATTTTTTGATTAGTAACTCACTCCTGGGCTTTATTTCAATTGTAAGGCATGCTTTAGGTGTGATAACCATAAGCAAATCAATGTTGTATGTGAATGCTCTGAGATTTAAATTTGAAATATACTCTGCTAGGGCCACGCTAGATAAAAATTACTTTAAGGGCAGTATTGCAAAGGCTACTGAGCTGTACGTACCTTTAAAAATCTCCAACTTTCTATTGGAATTGTTTCCATTATTGAGCTCATTAGAGAACTAAGGCAAACAGGTACTTTGGGGCCCATCTAATAGAGATTTCCCTAAAGAAAGAGCTGCTGATTATAATGTAATAAAATGTTGCTTTTCCTTTCCCTTCAAGATAATTGCCACAGCTGAGGCCTAATTAACTATGACAGCACTTTATTTTTTTTTTCTTTTCTCCTTGTAGATAAAGTTGTTTCTGTACAAGGACCAGGGAAATGCTTATATTTAAGAAAGTACTCTAAAGAACATTTTG